TGGCCTGGTGGCTTCGTTCGCACTGCTGGGCGCCTACTTCCAATTCGAGGCGGCCTGCTCGCTTTTCCGCTTGCTCCGCGCGGAGCGGGCACGCAAGGCGCGGGAGGTTGAAGAAGTGCCTGGAGTCTTCGCGTGCCGGTTGATGCACTTGGTATGCGTGGCAATCTACAAAGAGCCCGACAGCATGCTGCTGGATACGCTCAAACAGCTCAACGACTCACCCAGCGCCTGCCGCATGCGGGTCGTTTTTGCAATGGAGGAAGCCACCGATCGCTCTGAAGAGCGCTTTAGGCTCTACCAGAAGAATTTGTCCAATGTAAAGGACGTCGTCTACTACATCCACCAGCCGAAACAAGGGGAAATCCGGGGTCTGTGCTCCAACCTCGCACATGCGCTGTCAGAGGACTTGTCCAAGCTCACGGCCAAGGACAGTTCCTGCGACCTGGACAACTACATCTTGACCAAGGCTGGATTCATTGAGTTCCGAGCATCGTTTTTTGTTGGGCTTCCCAAACTTCATGTTTACCCGTTGCAGGGTCATTGGTGTATGTGTTGAATAGGGGAGACCACAAATTCTGGTTTTCCTTCTGGCTTTCCTCCAAACCAAAGTGACAAGGGTACCGAGTTTGACCGCGACAGGTGGACTCACAGGCGCACTTGCCGCTGCACTACTTCACAGAGCTGGAGTGGTCCGTGCAGGATCGCAGGCGTGTCAAGAGCGAGGGGCCGGTTGTGTGGCAGCCCGTGCTGGGCAGCTTCCTGCGTCTTGGCTGCTTGTACCACCAGCCGAGAAAAACCTTTTGAAAAATGACGAGTTTTCGCCCAGTCAAACAGTTTGATGTTTTGGAGGTCCAAGACCAACGCAGGAACCGCAGCAGTAGCATTGGACCCGTGAGGGCGCTCATGTCTATGCGGAGCTTCTGCTACCCGGCCCTCTTCAAGATGAACTTGCTGACCCTCGCCGTGGGTAGTTTCTTTCTCAGGGATCTTTGTGGGCCCCTTTTTTGCGTGGTTCAAATAATTTCTGGGGGCCGGTTAGATGGAGCTACCTTTGCTATGTTCAAAGGGGACATAGGAACCCTTTCGCTCTTTGATTACTTTGCCACTGCATGGTGGAACGCTATTCACCTGTGACTTCTACCCTTCGCCAAGTTGGTTCCCCTTTTGTGTTTGCAGAAAGGGAAAGAGAGAGAGAGAGAGAGGGTCAACCCGGTTTGTGAGTGCCCTAGTTTAAGGACTTGCCGGGCCAATAGAAACCATTTTTTTTCAGCACCGAGGGTGCATATGCATCAATATTAATGCAGGTCGAAGCGCTGTTGAACGCAGCTTTCCAAGCTTGTGTTCGGAGCACAGACATGTTGTTTGGGGTCTGAACCTTACCGTTTGAAGCAAAGTTTTCTCACCTGTAGGTGAGAGGAGCGCATTTGCATCATGATGTCTTCAAACAGCTCTTGAGTACTCGGAGCAAAGTTTGAGCAATGATTGCAATCCTGGCTTTGTCTGCAGAATTGTCTCTTCGTTGGACACCCGCCCTATTGAAGATGTTGAAGTATCCTGCCAACAAAGGGACCGACAAGCAGCGCGACAGCAGGTCCAGTCTGCAGGTTTGACTCTCGTTTATTCTATTTGATTTCCGTCATTGGAAGTAGGTCTTGATTGGAATGGGCGGGCGACAGTCAGCCAGTGGAGGACAGTTACCTGCTACAGCGTGCCCCTGCGGCAATATGTGAACATGGGACGCCATCATCCTTGCTACATGGGTGAAGACTGCATGGTCGCGGCACAGACTCTTTGTTGCAATGCTTGGCTCCGACCGGCAGTCACACACCCCGACAAAAGTGGAAACAAACTGAATGAGGGGGTATAAGTGGACATGGGAACAAGGTCATTCCAAGCCACGAAGACAGAGAGGCCACCCTGGTTTTTTTTCCTGGCATGGTTGGGCGTTTTGGCAGTGTCAGTTCTGAGAGCAATGCAGTGGTCAACTCGGCTGACTGGGTGAAGTTGAACTCCGATAGATGGCTTAAGAATGCCCATCCGCGCTGCAAAGGTTTGCCTTCCATGGGAGGTCAGGGGGCACGTCCGAGTATAAGTCAAGGGGTTGGGCCACCTATAGCTCATCTGCCTGTTGTGTTTGAGCCCCGACAACATCGAAGCGGCTGCCCTTTGTTTTTCTTGCACGGAGTTTCTGAAAAGAGAGGGGTCCCAACTTGGCTGGTTTGCGTTTCATTCCCTTCAACGCGGATCCAATGCAGGGGGACACAAACGCTTTTGGGGCAAACGCCCCAACTGTAGAGGAGTCGAATATATAACATAGGGTCACTCTCAGCTAAACAAACTCCAGGCAAATCTGGACCATATCTTGCACCACTTTCGTTGCTCCGAGGAGCTCGGTGGACGCTTCGCGCTGCGCCACGGTGGCCATGTTGCCGGTGCTGGTGGAGGTGGCGCCGCCCTTGGACTCCAACTGCTGCGGCGCCTTACGGGAAACCGCCGCACGGCGGAATCCGGACGGGTTGGACGAAAATGCTTTTCCAGAAACCACCGGTTCGGTTGCGTGGTGGAAGGGTGGGTGTTGTTTTTTTAGGAAGCACTGTGTGTGTGTCCTGTTTTTGGAGGGTATCCGCTACTACAATAGGTTGGTTTGAAGAGGGAAACCAAAAGGCACAGCACTTTTTGGTTGCTGTTGTTTTTTGGGGGGCTCTTGGGACAAACCCAGACGACCCAAACGGTTTTCCAGAAGCCAGTCAAGTTGCACGTGGGTAGGTAGGTAGATATTGTTTAGAACAATTCGCGACTTGGCCTTTTTCCTTTGTTCGGTTGCTTTGGTTGAAAAGGATGAGTTCGACTAGCTTCGCTGCGGCTGTGCAATTGTTTTGCAGTCTAGCTTGAGGGCGGTACACCAGCTGTGTACCAACTATGTAACACAGCACATGTGGCGTGTTTTGGACTTTCGGAGCCTCCGCTCATGCAAATTCAAACGGTGAATGCGTTGAGGGTTTTAACATGTATATTTTTTGGTGTTTTTCTACAGGCATTGGCTTGCCATAGAAGAAAAACATGATCCCTATACCCCCGAACCACCACCAGCGGAGAATGATACCCAGTAATTACAACACAAAACACGACAAATTTCGAGTTATCATGAGCTAGTGGTCAAGCAAACATGTTCGACGTGCTGAGTCTGAGGCTCGGCAGTGCGTGCGCTGGGCCGCGCAGTCCACGGAAGCCGCGGAGTTCCGGTGGAGGTTCCGCGGGCCGAGGTCCACGTTGGGCACTGCCTGGTGGCTGCTGAAGCGGCTCGCTCTTGAGCTCCGTTTGGTGCCTTCACAGGTTCTGGGATTATACATATGATTGTCCTTCGGTGCGGGGTCTCGGACAGTAAGTCGGCGGAACGCGGATCGAAGCTTTGGAAATCAGCTTTGTCCCCAATGTGCCTGTGTGTTTCTTGTTTTGTGGCGGCAGCTTTTTGCGCAACCTGCTGCCAAGCAGGTCGGCCCGTGATTTCCAGCTCCTCTGGGCTATCAAGTTGGGGCTTGCAAGCCTTTTTGGTGGCTGTTGTCGGAGAACCATTTTTGCACTGCACAAGCTTGGCTTCATGGAAAGCATCAATGACGCACTTCCAGACGTGTGTAGAAGCAGGGAATCTCGTCGCTATAGGTATTGGTTTGTGCGGGTGGCCATGATGAACGCCTTGGGGGCCTTCGCCATCTCGCTCTCTGTGGCAGTCCAACTGGACATTGCGCTGCCGGAGTTGGAGTCCTGGGTCTTGCTGGTGATGGACAAGCGCCTTGACAGCAACTCTTCATGGAATCAACCGAGCTCGTCTACACAGGAAGCGAGGCTTCGGGGGTCCTCAATGCTTTCAATTTGTCGTTGAACAAGCACGGAAGTGCACAGACCGCTTTTGGAAGACTTTTCCAATGGCACTTCCATGTTAATTTGTTGGAGTAGCATTCCTGAGGGCACTTGAGCCACAATCAAAACCCGTGTAGATGAAGGATAGCAACAGATCATCCCAACTACAAGTGGGGGCAGTCGCCTTTTAATTCTTTGCTACATCTTTCTGGGTAGGCCTTTTTGTTTAATACCAGGTTTTGACTATGACTCACTTGAGGCATTTAGAGTTTGAACTCGGCACGGATTGGGGCACTTTGGGTATAGCGCAAACCGAGTTGGGGCCGTGCAGTTCATTGTGAAGCGCAACATAGCGCCACCATGCGACCATCTCCCAGACCTCAACTTGTGTTATTTTGCCTTTTTGGTACAATCACGTACACAAAATATTGTTTTTACATCAACGAAACATAATATGCACCTTTGTTTCCCATGCCCATAGGTCAAAGCTTAAGCCGCCATTTGAATCCGACGTGACCCATCGCGCGCCTGAGGTTTCTGCTCGTGGTGGTGCTGGCGTTGTTTGTAGTCATGCCCGTCTACGAGCAGTTTCTCAGCAGTCCAGATGGTTGATCTCCAAGCCACATTGACCTTGACCATTTGAACCAGTTTTGGCAACCCTGGTCCTATAAGCCAGTTGTTCAATGGGTCGACCCTTCTCCCATTTTTGTTGTTTCAGTTTTGGCCGTGCGGCGGGGGGTGGGGTGGGGTGGGGTGGTGGTGGTGATGTGGGTATTTGATGAACACATGCCTGGCCGCATGCGTGTTTCGTTCATGCAAACATGACCTCGCAAACGAGCCCCCGAGAAACCTTGTTTTGTTCATTCATAGGATCCCAATCCCTGTCCTAAAGCAACGCCTTGTTCTTCAAAGTATCAGTGATTCCACTTGCCGAGAAGGGGTCCGCACAAGGGTCGTATTTGTTGTCCCTTTGCCCATACGTGGGTCCCTAAACCGGCCGACTCCCGGTGAATCACCATTCTTTATTTGAGGTGGCCTATTCATGTGATCGAACATCGACAATTTGGATCAATTTGGTTAAGCAAAAGCTATGAGGAATCGGATGCAGCGCAAGCATGACCCACACAAGGGGTGGTTTACATTTCTGTACCACGCAAAGAGTCGGAGCTTCGGTCTACCAATCTAGATAAAATATATACATACACATAAACTCATAAACCAGCTCACCACGACCACATACGACCACCTAGGAAAATGTTTCCTTCTATATCAGACCAATACCACTTTAAAGGTCCCAACTTTTTGGAGTCACCAAACTGTTTTGCGTCCTTGCGCACTCCTCGTTGGTCTGTCTCTTTCCATTTCGGGCTCACTGTCCTGGCAAGGCTCTTGGCGCAGCTGGCAAGGCACGAAGTTCCTTGGCTGGTCTTTAGCAGTACCATGAAACTCGGATTGGTTGGACCTAATATCTTCCACCAAGCGAACCTTACTCCCCCAGCCAAGTGCGATCCACCTGTAAACCGTTGGGTTTGGGAAGAACAACTCGGAGTTTGGCTTTTGACTCTCTTTCGAGAAGACATAGCTGAGTTCCGCAAGACTCGCAACATTGCTCGAAACAGGGGCTCCTCAATTTGCCGCATTTGGACCTTCAGCGGTTTCCTTGGACCGCCTACCCCAACTTAGAGCTCAAGCTTTTGGTTTCTGAAGATAAGGTCCTTGGGAAACCCAAGGGAAACCCAAGGGAAACCCACGCGCACGGGAAACCGAGGTCCCTTGGCGCCAGCTGCCCGCGACCATCCTGTCCTTCCCGGGGGCTGTGCTGGCGAACACAGTGGTGGACCTTTGGGCCTGGCACCAAAGCTGGAGGGTAGCTGTGTGGCCCAACAAATTCTGGGGAACTATTTCGAAAAAACGGGGGGAATAAAAAGGGGGGGAAAAAGGACGGGAGGAGCTATTCATTACAAAGCAACACCCATGTCAGCAGGTTGGCTCGGAGCCTTGAAAAGATGACCACAACACAAGGGTTGAAGAATCGTAGGCCCTTTTGTTTTCCTGGGACCGAACCTGGAACTTAAGGGACATGAACGTACAACTTGGATTTTGGTTGATACCAAGAGAAGCCCCCTCGAAGTGATAGAGTGGTCCACGAAACACGGGCATGGGAATCCTGCTTTTGCATCGTATGCTCGGTTTTTCCACAACTGTGTTAAAGGGCTTGGGGATCATTTCCGCTGGATTAAGTTGTCAGACATAGGCAAAGACGATTAAGTTGGGTTTTTGAAATGATTCGGGATACGCAGCTTCCATGGATAAACGGCTTCTCTTGTGCTTCAATTGCTTTGTAAAAGCAGCTTTGCACTGGGCATCCTAAGGCACAAGCTGCTGTCACGAGGCAAGGCGGCCATCACCCTCACGCACCGGAAGAAGATCGTTGCCAAGGACCCAGTAGCAACCAAAGCGCGCAGAGCCCACTCCCTGAAGGACGTGGAACTTGGTGTCCAGTGGCCTACTTGTAATGTGGCCAGTGCTGTTTGGAAGCTACCCCTTCAACCATAGTCAGGGGCACTCTTGGCAAAGGGCACCCCTGTCGCCGAGCGATGATTTGTGATTGCAAGCGACAGGACGTCAAAGAAGGCTGTGGAGCTGGAGATACAGGGTTACCACTACCATCGGGCTTTTCCGGCATCTCGGAGCTCGTCAGCTTCTAATTGAGCCCACAAGCGGCCTCAAAGTAGGCGTTGTGCCTTGTGAAGCTGATATGCACCTTCGCAGGCTGCCAAATGCAACCCGAGTTAGTTAATCGTGATTTTTGCGGGACCCGGCTGTTTCGATCCCCAACCTGTTTTGTGGGTGCATAAGCCAGAAGGTAACAGGTAGGTCACAAAACAGGGTTGGAACAGCAGGGTCCCGTCATGTGACTTCACTCTCCACCTTGGCAAGAATTGCCGATTTGGGTCAAGAGACCTTTGCTTTAGCTGCTTTGTTTGCCTGAGGCAAACATAAGCGGTCGATGGTCCAGTGTGCACAGCTGTTCGCCTTGCCATTTGGCAAGGTAGCCCTTTGGGGATTGCTGCTGCCTGTCCCCAATTCAATGCTGGCTGCTTCCCCTGTCAAAGTTGTGAGCTGTGCGTGCAAGATTGATGGCCAAAGGTTTGATGGAGCCCGTTCTGCATTGATCAAATCCCTACAAGTAAAACAGCAGGAGTGCGATGAAGTACACCGTCAACAGGGAGGGTTAATTTTCTCGGATCTGAGGGGTGAAGAAGTAGACTGTTCTCCGCTAGTTGGGACTCCCACGTCATCGCAACAACCAAAACGCCCAACAGTATCCAATTTTCAGAGCTTGGCATTTTTTCTACATGTGGTCGAGTTGGTTTCTTCTTGGCTTCCTTTCAAAGCAGCGGCCTTTTTGAAGGTCCTCCAAAAAGACGAGACCCAACCGGCGGCTGCGCCTGGCGCTCTCGAAACGCCCGCGCGCCTTTGAGGCACGCGGGCTGCCCAGTGGCGCCCCGCTCTGGGCCTCTTCGAGCAGCTCGCAGCTCGAGCGAACGAGGGACGTCCCTTACGGTTCGACGATTCGAGTGGAATTTGCGGCTTTACCTTTTTGTTGCGTATGGAACCTTTGGTCAGAAGGGGTAAAGCAGCTTCACACACACACACACACACACTGCTCTCCAAGGATCGTGATGTATTTTATAGTACCCCCCCCACTGGCCCACCCCCTTTGTACAGTTTAGGCCATTATAGTACAATCTTTCATTTCCACCTTGTTGCTTGCCCATGATCGGCTTTTTGTCACAAGGCATGGGATCTTCCGTTTCGGGGTTCACTCGGGTGCGTACCCTTGTTCACCTTGGTTTCCTTGAGAACTGCCCATGTTCGGAGTTCCGCTGTTTTGACGCATGACTTGCTTCTTTGCCAAGGAAGGTGCCGAATCGGAAGTGGCCCCAGACGTGCTGAGCTACGGCGCCGGGATCTTGGCCTGTCACCAGGCCCACTGATCGATGATCGATGACTCCTTTCGATTATCCAAAGTCCCAATTTGTTGGAACCCAGGGTCAACACAACGTGGCCCCTTAAAGTGGCTGAATTGTGAGGGTTTCTCAAAGTTATGCGTTTGGAGTGGTATCCCGTCAAGCCATCATTCAAAGGGTGATTTTCAGGAGGCCACTTTTAACCCAGTAGATGAGTGTGCCCAAAACCTGGGAGCTCTTGGGGGGTTGGGGAAATCGCTTCCAATGAATCCAAATGGTTGATCAATCCGGGGTCTAGCCCTTTTTTTGCCACTTGAGTGAGTTGAACACCCAAAGGAGCGAGTACGGAAAGTGCTAAGACTCGGCTGCTTGACAAGAAAGCGTTCCAGCTCCTGGCGATTTGTCATTCCCTCAGTACAAGGTGGTAGTTTGCTGGTGGTGGTGGTGGTGGTGGTGGTGGTGGTGGTGGTGGTGGCGGCGATGGCGGTGGTGGCGGTATCGGTGCCTACAAATATGCCTACGTGCACCATATCTAGGCACATTACTGTCTGTATATGAGCATGTTTTACAGAATATATATATATATATATATATCTACACACACACACTCGTAGGGTTAACACCTGTATCGTATTGTTCAGTTGATTATATTCTACTTGGATGCTGAACATATTTAGATAGTAGGTGAGCAGCGTGGCTACACGTGGGACAACGTGGTTGCTTTACAAACACGGATGAACATCTCTGAAACTCCACCTCGTGTTTCACGCGCAGCTGCCAGGGCAACCAGAGCTTCAGGGCGCAGGAGCTGCTCGCGGGCCTTCAGCGGTGCCTTTCGCTAAGTCCTCGCTGAGTTTGGCGATCCCACACAGGAAATTCGGAAGGCGAAGAACCCGCAGGGCGATCAACGGCGCCTCGGCCGGGGTTTGCCTGACATCGCTTTGAGGGAAGGATCCCATGCCGTTGGGGGTGTCTACATTTGGTGGTCAGGCCCTGAACCATGGTTTCTGTGTTGTGCTTTTTTCCCCCAAAAGGGACATCGACCCCACAGCAACCCTCAAACAAGCCTCAAACGCCAACCAATAGCAAGCCAAAACCTATCTCAAAGTAAATCCTAAGCCCACCCTGAGCCAACCCTCAGTCAAGCCTGAGCCAGCCACAAGTCGCCCTCAACCCACCCCAAATTATTACAGAACCATGGCCTCAATCCATTTTAGTTTACATGACCCTTGCCCTAAGCTAACCCCTGTGCCAAGCCACCCTAAACCAGCCCAACCCCACCCAGAAGGGCCGCTCAGCAAACTCTGTGTAAGCCACATGCATCAAATGGGTGTGAAATGTCGAGTTTTGGCTGCGGGACTTTCAGTTGGTGACCTAATGGGTTACCTGTCATCACAGCTCCTTCAAATGCGGATGCCGGGATACTTGGAGAGTTTTCTGCGAAGCAGGATTTATTTGTTGGCCGTATGTTTTTTCTGATTCAGTATGCAGACATCACGAGTCCATCCCAGCGCCCACAGTGGCACGCCCTCAGGTCGTGCAGCCAACGAGCGTGAGAGGATCGACATATCGACGATCCCGACTGGCATGCAAGCAAAAGCCTCGAGCTGCACTAGGAGAATGTCCTGCTTGAACAACTAGCTCCACCACTGGCACGGCTATGACCAGCGCGCGCGTTGCACGAAGGAAATCGAAGGAATCATTTGCCGTCAACTCGGCCGATTGCTTGCGCTCGATGCCTTGCAGTGATCTGAGCTTATTCAATTTATATGTGAGTGCAGTGCTTGTGGCACGATCTCTTTATTTGTATTGTTTGAAAAAATGGTACCCCTTTTGGCTACCTTGAAATCCAAGCAAGGTAAACAAACACCAACCAAAGGGGAAGAACTGTGTTATGCGAAACACCCATCCCACGCGTTGTGCTCGTGCTGCTTGTACGTGCCAGCCAGAGCCACTGCGTGGTTCCACGACGCCAGCTGGTCCACACCGGCACGTGCTGTTTGATGTGATTTTGCCAGAGGCGAGTCGTACTTTTCCCGGCCGCGTGTTTTAGCTCCGCCTTGGCGCCCCAAAAGGCGCAGAGTGCAACAGGGGGCAGACGACAAAGCAGCGCCCAGTTGACCCACTCCACTGCAAATTTTAATGTAACCTACACCCGTATTTCTGGAGGAATCTCGATTTGGGGGACCCTGTGTTTGGGGAGCTCAATGTTGTTCTACCAATTTAGAATGAGCGACTCAGAGCCTCACATTGAACAGAGTTCAGGATTATAATAGAAAGAAACTTATTGGCCAATGATATCAATAGTCGAGTTCTCTTACCTGGGAGGGCGGGGATTGAGTTACATATATATATATGTACATACATATGTATATAATATATATACACATACATGTTTATATATTCAAATAAATTCTGACGGATTGCTGGTTCATTTAGGCCGGAGCAAAACAATAAGACGTTAGGTGTTGGGCGCCGCTCGAGCGCAAGGGTGCGGATCCGCACGCAACGCCGGGGGTTGCTTCGAGAAACTGGAAGCCGCAGCTCTGGATGTCGATAGACGACTGTCCCCCAGGGGTCCCAAACATGTTGTTTTGTGTGTTTCGGTGTTAAGGATTTGAAGCCAGGGTAAGAGCCTTTTGAACCGCTGTTTGAATAGTTCAGCTGGAGCCCTCCATTCGGAAGCTTTATACACTCCATAGGGCGTGAAAGCCAGCCCGGTTTGACAGAACTAAGGAATGCAAAGCTCCGGCGTCAAATGCACAGCACACATTTCATCGTCCAATATGGCTCCAAACCCGGGGCAAAACAACTTGGAATACTTTCCTTAACGCCTGGGGTGCTGGGGTGCTATCAGTTCTTACTCTCTTGGAGCCCAAGACGTCAGCACCACGGGAGGCACCCATTTCGCGTCCTACGAATTCGTTTGCAGTTCCGAGAAGCGGAATTCACCCCCAGGTGCAGCGGCTGGAGGATTGTCTGCAGCAGGAGGCGCCGCGTGAACCGCTTGGTTGCCTTTTCGCCCGCTTCATCTACACAATGCGTCTAACACGTTGACCCTTTTTTCGACCCATGATATTTGATTGACCCAAGTCCTCTTGGATGAAGCATGGAACACTGGGTGGTCGTGGACAGTTCCTAACTTGTGGATTTAGTCCATCGAGTATACCATTTGGGTCCACAAAATGGTGGCTTTCCACCTGAAAAGAGTGCCCTCAACAACAACCCCACGTACGCTAGGCGCAGCTGCGGCAGCTGAAGCTGCAGAGCTTGAAGAAGGCAGGAGGAACTGAGCCAAAGGAAGGGGGCCGAAGCAACCGAGAGACCTACGGTGGATTGCCCCTACCACAAATGCAACTTAAGCTATTGAGAATCGAATCTACAAGTCTTCCGCAGGGTTTTAATTTTAATCCAGCTGCGCTGCTCGAAGAGCGAGGGCAACCCTACCCGCAGGGTATACCGCTGACATGTTTTGTTGCACCGGAAGCTCCTCCTCAGCATCCCCTGCATCACCCGAACGCAGGCCAGCCCTGACAGTTGGACCCCAAAACATTCCCGACATCCCTAACCTTGCGACGGATCCTTTACATCCGCCAACTTCACCAGCATCCACAGCATTCCTGAATCACCAGCATCCTGACAGTAGGTATGTTTGCGATCAAGTGAGCAGGGTTTCTGCGAAAGTGGGGCCGGTGCCCCGGAGAACGTCGCAAATACCGTTGGTTTTGTTAGATGTACCGGGTTTTGGGGGGGCTGAGACGGGGTGCCGGGGACGCAGTCTTCGCCTGATTGGCTTTGAGCGCGCGCCGGCGTGCACGCACGCATGCGCGCACGCACGCACGCGCGCGCACAAGCACGCACACACACACACACACACACACACACACACACACACACACACACACACACACACACACACACACACACACACACACACACACACACACACACACACACACACACACACACACACACACACACACACACACACACACACACACACACACCACACACACACACACACACACACACACACACACACACACACACACACACAAACACACAAAACACACAAAACACACACACACACACACAAAAAACACACACACACACAAACACACAAACACACAAACACACAAACACACAAACACACAAACACACAAACACACAAACACACAAACACACAAACACACAAACACACAAACACACAAACACACAAACACACAAACACACAAACACACAAAACACACAAACACACAAAACACACAAACACACAAACACACAAACACACAAACACACAAACACACAAACACACAAACACACAAACACACAAACACACAAACACACAAACACACAAACACATCAAACACACAAACACACAAACACACAAACACACAAACACACACACACAAACACACAAACACACAAACACACAAACACACAAACACACAAACACACAAACACACAACCACACAACCACACAAACACACAAACACACAAACACACAAACACACAAACACACAAACACACAACCACACTAACACACAAACACACAAACACACAAACACACAAACACACAAACACACAAACACACAAACACACAAACACACAAACACACAAAAACACAAAAACACACAAAACACAAACACACAAAAACACAAAAACACA